ATGTGAGTCCCTTTTAGGTTTCTGTGAGAGTGTCAGTAAGCATGTGGCACAGCTGATCCGGGAGAAAGTGTTTCCTTGGACTTCCAAAATGCTGTTGACCAACTTCTTCACCAAAGGCTCTTGAGCAAACTTGACAGTTATGGAATCAGAGGGGAATTCCTCTTACGGAGCAGTAGCTGGTTAAGGAACAGAAAACAGGGCGTAGGAATAAATGGTAAATTCCTGCTTGGGGGAATGGAAACAGTGGAGTCCCACTGGGATTTGTTATGTCAATGCTGTTTTTAAATTTATTCATAAATTATCTGGAATTATCAGTGAGCAATAAAGTAGCCAGGTTTGCTGATGACACCAAATTATTTAGGACGGTTAAAACAAAACGGGATTGTGAGGGGCTGCAAAAAGAGATCTCCAAGCTAGACGATAAATCAAAATGGTAAATGCAGGTGTAAAGTGATGCCTGTAGAGGTAAAACATCCCAACTTCAGGCACAAACTGATGGAATCTGAGCTAATATTGATGGAATGAGAGAGGAGAAGCGAGGTTGTGCTCAGTCGGCCTTGAGTGTTCACCTTCATCCTCTACCAGGAAGTGAACAAAACCTTTCAGCAGAACACCTAGCAGGAGTAATGAATGCGGTTACACCGTTGGTTCAGCAATGAGTTCCATCAAGGAGTTGAAAGAGACCCTTCCCAGAATGATAGTTCAGCTCATCGTGAGGTGCTTTGGGGGATCTTAGATGGATCTTCACAAAGCACCAGAAAATGCCCAAGTCCATGGCATTCTGTCTAGGCTGCAGTGCACAACTCTGGCGTGGCCGGTGGGGCTTCTCATTGTGCTCCCCTTGTGTTCCCACCACTAATTTTTCATAGAATTAAAGATCTGCAGTGGAGCTCTTTCCGTGGAAATACTTGGTGACGCCCTGTCCGTCTGTAGCCCATTGAAGCGGCGTGCCCCAGAACGTGCCAGAGGAGCAGCTTATCCGTCTGGTTTCTGGTTTCAGGACTCCCCTGCTGAGGGGGTTTGCTCAGTCCCTCCCCTCCTAGGTGTTGATGGTAGAGGCACCTGCAGAAGTGCCTGCAAGGGGGAACACAGCTATTTCAGCTCCCCGGGTCTTAAGCTCTGCAGGCCAGCCTTTCCCAGCATGCAGCTGGCTGTGGGGATGATGGGAGTTCCAGTCCCACACCTCTGGAAGACACCCGGCTGAGACAAGCCTTTGGGGATCAGCACCAGGAGTTCGGATTCTGCCCAGACACTGATTGCCCCTTTCCTGACCAGCGGGATGTGCTCCTTGAGGCGGCCACGGCCCGTGATGGAGCCGCATGTTCCAATCCAAGTGCTGCTTCCGAGGCGGCACAGCCCTTCTCCCTGTGCGGGAGGCGCTCCTGGTGGATCGGGCCACCGTTTGCCTCCTCTCTGAGTGGCGGTGCAGTCCAGGGGAGCAGCAGTCCGACCAGCACCCCCCACCCTCCCCAAGTTGTGAGCAAGGGGATTTTCTCTTTAATACCATTGAAAGGGTCTGAAATCCCCAAGCTTTAGATTAACATGTGCCAGCTAGATTAAGGCTAATCAGAGGGGCAGCTGCGGCATGGCGACAATCCCAGGACTGATCACCGTATCTCAGGGGCTCGGCACCCGTCCCTCCCAAGGGCGGCCTGCCCTGCTCGTGGGTGCTGCAGGCCGGCCCCCCACCTCCGCCCACCTGGCCCGGCCCGGCCCCTCGGCACTGCAGTCCCAAGGCCACCCACCGAAGTGATTTGGCTTAATCCCTCTGCAGAAGGAACCTGTCTGCACATGCGGACAGAGACAGTCCGGCCCCGTTTTGCATGGCTAGTTCCCGGCACGTAACTCCTCTTCCACGCACGAGGCGAAGCCTGGTTGCAGGGCTGCCCAGGACGGGGCTGTGCGACCAGTTTGCCTCCGGAAGGTCTCTTCTAGCAGCAGCCTGGCTGCACTCTCTGCCCCTTTCCTTCCTGCTTCTTTTCAGTTTTCTGCCTTTCATGCATTCCGTCTGCCTTGTCTTTTCCACCTCCTTTTTGGTCTATTTTGATAGAGGCTCCAGGTTCTCTGGCCAGCAGCAGGCAGTTTGCTTGTTTCCTCCCCTTCTTTGTCCAAGTTTTTAACAAGAAGCACATCCTTGGAACTCTTTCTTGAATCACTGCCAGTTCCAAAATACTTTCAGACCCAGCAGATGTACACGCCACCGTTCGTAGAACCACATCCTGCGTCCCTTTGCTGTCAGAGTATGGATTGTGTTGTTCTTGAGGCAGGGGCCTGTCCTCGTGTGTCCGCTGCCCTTCGAATGTGAGCGCTGCTCTTTTGGCACAGTGTAAATAATGGCTGGCAACAGCTGTGCAGTAAATCATGAACTTCAGCCCCGCAATTAACATCCTTGCTGTTCTTAGAGTAAGTGAAAGAGCCGCATTACTATGTAGTTCGGAACGGCATTTTGAGGCAGCTTCCTGCTGGGTGGCAGGGGCCACATCACTGTGGGAAGGAAGGCTTAATTCCACTTCGCGCAACTGGGCATCTTCCAGAGGCACTACAATTCCCACAATCCCCTGCCAGCCTAGCCGTTGGAGAAGGCTGAGGCAACCTCTTTCCTCGGTGGCAGGTTCCCCCTCAAAGGTGATCGGCTGACCCATTAGGGGACAAGTACCTCCTATGATCCTCTGTTTATGGGCTCCCCGCTCCCCCAAGCTGACTCAATGGTGACTTTCTGCTTCAGTCAAACAGCTGCTCGCTCTTGCCGCCACAGAACCAGCCGCCGTTTGTGCTGAGCTGTGCGGAGCCACCGAACAACCAGGAACAATGAATTCAGTGTGCTCTTGGAATGCCAAAAGGCACAAAGGCAGACGGGACACCTGATCTGCGGCCCTGTGCAGACAGCCATTTTATGGTGCAGCTTCGATACAGGAATCTACCAAAATATATTAGATAGTCAAACATCTTGCTTATATCCCAGAGTCAGCCCTTAAAATGGCAAAGGCACCAACTTCCAGCTACTGCGTAAAGCAGGACATATTCTGCAACAGGTTGAGATCAGGCATGTAACAGAAAGGGAGTGAGGAGGAGGAGGCCATGGCTCTGGATAAAGTGCCACACATTTTCCCCAGCTGCTCCAAAGGATTCGTCTCGCAACCATTGCAGAAACTTTTGTGCCCTACAGATTTCCAGTCCGGTCTTTCCAGCCCTGTGGCAGCAGCTACGTGGGTCGGAGGTGAAATCCCGGTTAGCTCTGTGCTCTCTTTGGGCAGACGTCTGCCTGCTTTCCCGGGCACAGTTTCATTATTCAGCAGGGCACAAAGGGCTCCAAGATCGCCCCGGAAAGAGCAACCAGGGCAAGGCCCATGGGTGGCTGCCAGATACTCAGCCGCCTGGGACACCAGGTCAGCCCGCTTAAGTCCTAAGCTTTCCTGTCTGCACAGCAAAGTGATGTGAGGACATGCTGTCACATTTTGCTGCCTCCTGTTGTCGTTAAGTGGTGTGACCTTCAGTAGACACAAAGCCCTAGCGGAATCAACCAAATTAGAGATGGTCTCTGGCAAGGCAAAGCTCCCCGGGTAAGCTCTGTGCCTTCTCCGAAACTCGGCTCAGGTTGGGCTTCCCAGGGCAAGGTTTTTGCGAAGGATGTCTTAGCATAGCTAATCTGAGGCTTGTGTGGTGTCCGGTTGGCCCAAAAGGGACCTTTTCCTCCCACAAAATGGTGTGCATCTGTCCATCCAGGAGCATCTTGATCAGGACTCCCGACCCACCCACCGTGCCCCTGAGGAACTAGTGGAAAAAGAGAGGGATCGCCAGTCCTGGCACTGCCGAGTCTTAGCTGTGCCAGAAAACAGAGCCAGTGACAGGTGTGGCAGAGCAAAAGGGCTGGTGCCTTTCCTTGACACAGGTGTGCGACACAAAAGTGAATGGAGAAGGGGAGATTGTGCAGACAAGCCTGTGTTGACTCAGGGCACATGAGTGAGCTCTGAATCGAAGGAAGAAGAGCAGTTCAAACAGGAAGCAGCTGAGACAGGTTAAAAACTGCCCAAAGGGGTCGGCTCGGATGAAACGGGCACCTTTTGTGGCTGCCGTGTGTGGCATGGCTCACTCGCACGAGCAGCCTGGAGCAGCCGTGCTGCTGTGTGCGGTAAATGCATGGCGGAGGGACTGGGGCCAGCCGCTGGTGAGCCAACAGAGCCGCCTGCCCACCTCGCACCAGCCAGCTTCCCTTGCGTCGCATCGCGGGTTCCCTGCCTGGCGGCTTGAGGGCCGCTTTTCACCTGGCCAGGGCGCTTGGGGCTGATGCAGGGAGGTTCTTCCTCACTGCAGCAGGAAGGCCTGAGGGCAAGTGAGCGGCTCCGCTTGCCTTCAGGACCTCCCAGGCAGCTCCCCGCACTTCACCCCACCCCAGGTAAGCGGCCTGGGGCCTTCCGAGCTCCACTCCCTCCTCACTTCTGCTCCTTTGCTCACCTGCCCAGTCGCCGGGAGCTGGGGGCTCTGCGGCTCCGTCTCTGCACACACGGATTGTGCCAAATCAGCGAAAGGGGCCCGGTGGCAGACAGGCAGCTGGTTGGGTCCTTCCTGCTCTCTGGTTCCTTGTAAAATCAACGCAGTTGTCATCCTCAGCTTCCAGGACTGGCTTCAAAGAAAGGGGCGGGGGGGGTGGTACTGACAAGAGCTCCAGGACGTGCTCTTCCTCCTGACCATTGCACCTGGCGGTTACTCTGGCCAGGCAGTGGGGGGGGGGAGGCGGTACACGAGGCTCCCTTCCTCTTTAGCCGCTGGCTTGCTGCCTGCCGGGGCGCAGCAGCAGCAGTGGTGGGAAAGAGGGAGAGGAGCTGGGGCAGCAGGGCGTGCAGCGGGGGCGACCTCGTGGGGCCTTGCCCTTCGGAACCCGGAATGGGGACCCAGCTCTTGTCCAGCCCTCCTGCCAGCCATCGCGGGCGGCTGCTTCCAGTCAGCCCTGCTCAGCCCAAGCGCGAGCGCAAGCCCAACCAAGCTTCTCCTTGCCTCCACAGGGCTCGTCCAGATTCCCGTGAGCATGTACCAGACGGTGGTCACCAGCCTCGCACAGGGGAACGGCCCCGTTCAGGTGGCCATGGCGCCCGTGGCCGCCCGGATAACAGACAGCACCGTCACCATGGACGGCCAGGCGGTGGAAGTCGTGACGCTGGAGCAGTGATGGCGGCAGCGCGGCCGATCTTGAGACTGTGTCTCCCTCCTTCCTTGTACGAAAAAGAAAAATCCGATGCCTCTCGGAGGCGTGATCAGGTGGCATTTTGAGTCTCGCAGCTTTGGAAGCAAAAAGTTTGATAACAAAAAGGAAAAAATAGCGCGGAAGGGTGCGTGCCGGAACCTTCTTTGCACCCCTCCGACCTTGCGGGAGAGTGCAAAGGCCTGTCTGGGCAGGTTAAGCTCAGCCTTCCTCTTACCTTGCCTGGACCACCCTGATGTGAAGCCAGGGCGAGATGGGAAGAGGTATGCAGCCCTCTTTTTCTGGGGGTGGGGCTCCCCACCGACTTTCACTGCCCCACTCCTGCGGCGGCTCACAGCACCAGGCTCTTCAGCTGTCCTCGTGGCGAGAATTAGGTGTCATTGAACATGGTCGTAAATTTGAAGGGGGGCGGGTCTGAAGGACTTTTTTTCTTGAGGTGGTGTGGACGGGACAAGAACCTCCTGGAAGAGAGCGGGGGGCCACGATCCGCCGGGTCCGAATCCCCACCAGCACCGGAGGGGCCTGCCTTCCGTGGTTCTCCGGGGACGTGTTGGAGCAGCTCTCGTTCCGCTCCCTCCTCTTCTCGAGTCCACGCTTGAATCCCTGCTGCGTGCACACGCACACGCACGCCTCCCCGTTCCCCTGCGATGAATTTTTGCTTGCGTCTTACAGCCCTTCTCCTTCGCAGTGGCAGGTTCAGAAAGGCGTGGGGAGCCACACACGGTGGGCTCAGGGGCCGTTATGAAGGGACACAGGACTAGCATGCATGGCCGTTTCTGCCCGCTGTCCCCGTTTGTGCTGGGATCGATCTCTGTGGCTGAGGCACGGGCCTTGGGCGATTGGTGGCAGGCGTGGGAAGGCACAGGCTGGGCCCCCTCCCTCTGCCCCCCGGCACTTCTTGGTCCAAGGTGCTCCTCCCCGGAGCTTCCAGCTCCACGTCCGGCACCCTCCTTTCATCCGCAGTACCTAGCATCCCTGAACCGCAGCTACACCTTGGCAGAAAACCGCTAAAAGAACCTCCCTGTCCCCGGCTTCTTCCCGCAGGGACCACCCCAGCCCTGCCGCCCTTCCCAGTGGAGCTGCTCCTGGAGTCCTCCGGCGTCTTTGCCGGCGGCTCACCGCTGGCCGCTGCCTGGCTGCAGGTGGGCACCCGCCCCAGCCTGCAGGAGGACGAAGGACAGGTGCCGCGAGCGAGGCAGAGCTCCGGCAGGGACTGCGCCCGGCAGGTGCAGGCAGCAGCCCGGGGTGGTGTGTGAAGGGCCCGCTGGCTTGATGGGACAACCTGTCCTGAGTCATTCCTGGAAACTGGTTTTTGCTTGGTCAGGACTTTCTGCTGCCCCCACAGTAAGCAAAATGGCTGTTCCTTTACAGATGAATTCTGCCTCTTTTTCCCTGGAAGAGCACACAGTATTTAATTTTGTTCTCATTTTATTTTACACGTGATGTCACATACCAAACCTCTCCATCGCCATCTCAGCCTTTGAAGGCAAGATTTTTTTTTCATTCTTTTTCCCCAGATTTCTGCATTTACTTGGCTTTTTTAAAAAAAGAGAAATCTCAACCGTTGTTTGTATGCTTTCTTCCTTCGCTGGACTTAAATTGCGGGGAGGGAATCCTTCCCACAGAAACAAAACCCAGGTCTCTGATTTAATTTTTTAATTTTTAAATATTTTTTTATTGTCGTTGTGAAGATGTCAGGTGTGACTTGAAGGTCGGTGTTCCTTTTTTGGCAACAGAATAACGTTCTGATAGACTGATAAATTTATTCCCGAGACCCAAAGAAAACAATCCTTGTTTCCACCCCAGCCCCTAGCAGAGCATGGAAGTACCTCTTGTTTTCCCAATTCTGTCTATTGCCTCAGTCAATAAATTGTTACAGACGTGTCTATAAAACTGCCGTCGGTGTCTTCTCTGACATGGAACAAAACACGGAGTTTCATAATGGGTTTGTTTGTCTCCTGCGGAGCCAGATGTCTGACTGTCTCAGGATGTTTGTGTGCGCTTGTAAAGTAAGCTTCTAGTCCTCAAGGGTGGGCAAGATAGATCTGAAAACATGGGAGCAATCAGCGAAGACTACAAGGAGCACTCCCCTGTGGGAGCAAAGGGTTTCCTCCTCATTTATGGCTTCCTGTGTCCTCCAGAACCCACACGACTGAGCCAGAGGTTGCTCAATGGGGCGCCCTTGTCTGCCCCTCCTCCAGGACCTCTGGCTGCGCTCATGGCCCTGCCACTAACCCCAGACGGCCTTCGATACGGCGCCCTGTGTCTTGCAAAGACAAGCTGGGCTGGGCTGCACCGCACCGGCTTGCTCCTCGGGCATCTCTGACCTCAAGGGCTCTGTGCACAAGCGCGCTCAGAAGGAGCCGGGGCCCCGAGGGCAACTGGCAAAACTGGACTCGGCAAACTCGGAGGCCACGGTAAGGGCTGGAGCCCTCTGCTGCAGCCCCCTGCTGCCCCGGGTCACTTGCAGGGGCCCTGAGGATCTCTGTTGTATCTGCTCCCCCCATCAGCTGGCTTTTTGGCCACATGGGCTTCCCTTCCTGCCCCCTGCTCCTTGAATGTTTCTGCCTGAGGTTTTCTTCCCCTCAAGTGCTGTCAAATGCTGCCCCCCACTTCAAATGAATGGGGGGGGGGTTGCTTTGCAAGCACTCCCATCCTCCCAGACCATGCTTTTAGCATATGCAAATCTGGGGGGCTGAGCCTCTTTCAGTTCCTAGCCCGGCCCCTTGATGTACCAGTCGCCCAGCTCATGGCAAGGCTCAGGACTAGCTTTTACCCAGCGTGGCTTCTCCAAATTCTTCCCACCCAGAATCACGATTTGAGGAAGCCGAGGGCAAATATCCTTGCAGTTCTTGCATGGCTTCGTCCCACTGGAGCCCAGGGCATGGCTCGCCATTTCTAGGCACAAGACACTGGGAGAGAGGGACGCGAATTGATGCGATAGCTCTTGCTGCGCGTTATTGTAACCCCGGGGTTCCCAGCTGCACGGCATGAATCACAGCAGACGCTCGCTGGCCGGGTGGCGGATGGCTCTTCAGGCATTCGGCCTCCTTTCGGAAGGGCTTTCTGCCTCGGCTCCGTGAGAAGAGATGATGGCCGGATGTCCCCGGGGTCATATCCTGCCCCAACACTCCTTATTGCCTCACAGACAGGAAGACCCAGAAGCTCTCTGGACATTAGTGAGGGAGGAGGATAAAATGGCCTGAGGGCTGCACAGGAGGCATGCTGGAGAGACGGGCATGCGGGCCAGGTCTGGTCCCGGACCTCCTCAGCTGAAGCACCATGGAGAGCGAGGCTGCCCAGGTCGCCTTGCCTGGAGCCCGGCTCCATGTTGCTCTTCCAGGACCAGGCCTTCTGGAAAAACGGGAGTACAGCGGGCTGCTCACAGGAAGCCTTTCCGCCTCAGCCTGGTGCCCTGCAAATGTGTTGGGCCACAGCACAGCTGGAGGGCCCCAGCTTGGCCGAAGCTGCCCGAGCGCTCGGGCCAAGGGACCCTTTCCCAACTCGCTCCGTGCTACCAGGGCCGTGCCTGAGGTGCCAGGGGCCGAACCCAAGAACGCAAGCTCCCCTCCCGCCTCACCGGCCCCTCTTCCCTCTTGCCCCGCCTGCTGCAGCCAGGTCCCCGCAGCACCTGAAAGGACAGGTGTCGCTCGCAGGAAGGATTACCCAAACGGTGGCAGCTGCACAGGAGCGCCAGCTCGCGAGCCATGACCTTCTCCTTAAGAAATGATTAGCCGAGATTACTGGGGCTGACGAAGATCCTCTTGAGCAGGAAGGGCTGCCGCGGCTTCTCAGGAGCGAGTGACCTGTCTTCCGAAGAGCCACTTGGCCTTTGGGCCCCCTCAGAACGTCAGGAGTCGTGCGACAGCATCAGCCTGCTTCTGGTCCCGTGTTCTTCCTTGGAACGATCCTGGATTCATCCTGGGGGAAAGGGATGGCTCCCCGGGGGGGGGGGGGGGGGGCGTCGTGCGGCAGCGCTCGCATGCGGGTCCCCAGCCTTTGGGTACAGTGGGCACATTTTGAGTCTCAAGGGTGCTGTGGGCACTCTCACAAGATGGCTACCTTGGGAAGGGGCTTGCCTGTTCATTAAAGCGGCTGGTCACAAAACACTCATTTGCAAGAATGCAACTAGGGAGGTTGAAAGAAAAGCATGTTTTCTAGGAAAAGAAACGGAAGGCACAAGTGTGGGACAAAGGCGCTCTCTTGAACCCTGCAGCATGCCAGCTCCTAGGTGGAATTAAGAGGCAGAAGCCCCAAGAGACGCATGGGCCCCAGAGCACGAAGCTTTGTGTGCCGGCCCTCCCAGACCTGCGGAAGAGAGTGTGAGCAGAGCTGAGTGTGTCAGAAAGTACGCTGAATGCACAGGCTTCTGTGCAGGGCACGGGCGCTGGGGGCTCCCCGCCCCCCCTTTCCTGTTGTGATGACACAGTGTGCCCAGTGTGGGGGCAGTCCCCCGCCCCCAGCCCACTTCGGGAAATAATTTTATGGCAAGTCCGCTGAGGGGACCATCGAAGGGAGCAGAAGCTCGAAGCCAGGTGCTGGCCTGGGCCATGGCCATTCCCCCCACCCCCCAAGCCTTCCCTACGCCCCTCGAGCTGGATTCAGCCCCACGGGCCGCCAGCCAGCCATTCCGGCCCCACGTTGCCTGCAGCCCTGGAAGGCCGACTGTCACTTTGCCCCGAAGAACCACCAGGCATAACGGGTCCCACTGCCGGCTCTCCGGGCAGTCAGGTCTGCAAGCCGCATTGCTGCAGCAAACGCACAGCGCTATTCCCCGAGGTCGGAGCCGCTTCCTCTCTCGGGGCCTGAGGTGCAGGCGGGGTTGGTTGCTGCTGCCCCCAGAAGCTGCGGACACGTCCCTTTAATGGCCTCCCCCTTCCTACACTGGGCTGAACGTACCTCCTCATGGCTGTATTGACCTGTCTTCCCACTTCGTCTGCAGCTGCCTGGAAACTGGGCTCATGATGGTAAAGACGCAGCAGGACAGTGCCAGCGCCAGCCATGCAGCTGCTTGCCAGGGAATCCCCGGTTCTTCCTACAGCCCCCCAGTTGGTCTGGGATGAGCCTTAATCCCCCCCACCCACCCAGCCCACCAAAATCTGTTAAGCAGGGATAATCAAGACATCAAGTCAGGTACACAGCCAGCCAGTCGCCAGGTGTTTGGTGCTCTTTATTGGTATGGCCCTCACAACAACCCTGTGAGGTAGGTCGCTGGTTTCCCCTTCCACGGGGCTAAGAGGGAATGAAGAGCCCAGCATGACAGAATTCCAGGATGGCAGGAAGATGAACCGGGACCTCCCAGGGCTGAAGTGTGTTCTCCAAGCATCGGGCAGCGCTGGTTCTTGGCGATAAGACAGCAAATATTTAGCCAGGGGTTCATATGACTAATGCTGCTCGGATACCATCAGGAAAAATGCAGGACTCCGGAAAAGTCCGTTCGCCTTGCAGAAACCTGCTTCGATGCTTCAGTCCATTCTAGTCACTGTCCTACAAGACTGAGGCCGTTCACCAACCCAGGTTGAAAGGGAAGCAGCCTAACGCCAGACTTTTCCAGCAGGGTGCCCTAGAGACGGCTGAATGCAGGTCCCATCATACATAGCCAGCATGGCCCTGAGGATGATAGGACTTGCCATTCAGCACCTCTGGAGGGAACCAGGGGTGGAAAGACCAGCTCAGGATGCGGGGCTCGGAGGCGCCACTCCAGAGCATTACTGGGCCATGAATGTCGCTGGCCTGCCGCCCGTCGGTAGCTTTCCACTGGCCCTGCATGGCGAGGTTTTTCCGGCGATAAAATGGTCGCTTGAGTTTGGCTCCGTTGTTGCTTGGGCTTCTAAAACAGGGAAGCGAGACATCCTGGAGGAGGAGGGGATCCATGGCTTCCCCTCGCAGTGGCTCTGCGATGCTTCCAGGCTCAGAGGCCGCTGCCTTTCCGCACCGTTTGCTGGGGAACGTGGGCAGGCGGGTGCTCATGCGCTCCTGCCTGTTCTGCTGTGGGTGTCCTACAGGCGGCTGCTGGGTAGCCCCTTGGGCCGGGTTCACACAATGCAACAAACACTCCGTACAATAAAGGGCGGCTTATCAGCCCAGAATGTCTCTCCGGCTTGTCTGAACCCAGCAGTGTGGTTTATTAATCACTTTAGCTAAGTTCACACAACATGCCAAGCTTATAGGACACCATGGCATGATAGGTTGTGTGAACGCAAGCTATCGGAGTCACCTTACATAGCCACAGCTTGTCCTCAAACACCTTTCTTGCTAATTTCCTAGGGTGAGTTTGGTTTCAGACTGCCCCTCTCTGGGTGGGGCGGAATGAGAAGACAGAGACTGGCAGAATCCGGTTCCGCGAGGAGCAGGGCCAGAGCCCGAGGCATTCTGAGTGGGCATTGGAGGAGTCCAGGAGACAGCCAGTGGCAAGGGCGGGCACGGTCCAGGGCCAGCAGGGGCCCACATCCCTGCAGGAGCCCGCTGGCAAGAGCTCCTGGCAGCCCCCTCTTCACCCCTCACCAGGCCACAGAGGAAGCCGTCGTGCTCAGTCGCTTCGTGATTCTCGGGTTGGCGCAGGGACGCGATGCTGGGGAAGCGGATCGTCCACAGCAGTAGCAGCCATGAGCAGGGGGGTGTCCCACGCAGGGCGCCCATGGATGCGCCTTGCCCTCGACCGCCTGGAGTGGCATCTCTTGATACCAGTCCCGGCTGGGGGTTCCAACGGGTCCGCGGCCCTGGCGACTGCAGGGAGCCGAGCTTGCTTCCAGCCCTTTCCAGGATCTTCTGAAGTTCCGGGGCCAGATTTTAGGTGGCATCGCAGGGGTCACCTCGGCCCCAGCCCCGAACAGCCCTATAGATAGCGTCGGCACCTTGCACCCAGGACCTCAGAGACAGCCGATGCAGGGCAC